GCGATAGGAATTACTCATTTATATACAATTTTTAATAAACTCAATTAAATTCAATGATCATAAATAGGATATGACTGAAGTATATATCCATTGGAATTTTTATAGTTTATTTTAAATGGATATGAGCTGTGTATAAATGTCATTTTCTTAAGAATGCATCTCCACATTATCCACCGAAAACAGATGTTATGAATTCATTTGATAGTGTAAATTAGGGATTCTGAATTATATGTTGTGATGAATGTTATGGGTTCTCTGCTCAATTTGTTGGATGGATAAGGACCTGCTTGGAGAGTGCTTCATTTTTGGTTAATTTCAACGAAAAGGTTTTCGGTTTCGATTTTCAAAGGGGTGGTTTAAGGTTTTCGGCTACATTGGGTTTTGTTTGTACCCTCTAGCTCGAGGTATGAACAATGATATTTGTTGGTGTGGGGTTAGACTCACGATCGGTTCGTTTGATCTCATCGGGAGGGAAGAAATATGTGAAAGAGCCGGGGATGCCCCCCGGACTAAGTTCCGACGAATCAAGTTAGTTTCTGTTTAGCATGAGAGTTGAGAGAACAACATAGAGAGATAAATTGTAGATAGATAGTGGAAAGTGGAAAGTGGAAAGTGAGGAGAGAGAAGAAGTCCCCTCCCTTGGAGGGTTTCATAACTTTATATACTCGTAGCGGATTTCGAGCGTCATACGTTATCGATTGGACGCGCTATTACTTAGTATGTGCACGGAGTATCTTAGTAACACCCTCAACAATTTTCCCCCAAGCTGGTGGTGAGTTTTAACTCATCGCTAGCTTTTTGTTTTTTAAAAAAAAATCATAATCGATAATTTTGGATGGAGCCCTATGTACCCCAGTTGCCCCCCAGCTAGTGGCGCGTTTGGCTGACGCGGTGCCAACTTCCTGCGTCATGCCCCCTAGTTGGTGTATTTCATTAAGCCGTTGAGCACTCTTCTATTGGAATCTCCAAGGCGCTGAGCAATTGCTTGTTGAAAATTTTCCAAGGTATTGAGCACTCTCTTATTGTAGTTTTTCACGTACACACAAGTGTGCCCTCTTTCATTGGTGCGCTTGTGATAGCCGCACGATTACGTTACGGAGTTACCGCGCACGTTTAGTGCCCTTTATTGAAGATAGAGATAGTTGAACACTATCATATTGTAGATTTACTAATGCTCTTATCGAAGTCTTATTTGTGTGCTTTCAGTCGAGTCTTACATGAATGGAGGTAGTCGAGCGCTCCCATATTTGTAGATTTCCCAATGCTCTTATCGAAGTCTTATTTGTGTGCTTCAGTCGAGTCTTACATGAATGTAGGTAGTCGAACGCTCCCATACTTGTAGATTCCCCAATGCTCTTATCGAAGTCTTATTTGTGTGCTTCAGTCGAGTCTTACATGAATGTAGGTAGTCGAGCGCTCCCATATTTGTAGATTCACCAATGCTCTTATCGAAGTCTTATTTGTGTGCTTCATTCGAGTCTTACATGAATGGACATAGTCGAGCGCTCCCATATTTTTAGATTCACCAAGGCGTTGTGCGCTCTCCTCGTCGGGGTTTATGTACCCTCAGTTTGGAGTATTCAAGGCGTCGAGCGCTTGGTGAGGGCATGGCATTGACTAGTCCAGGCACGAGCCCTGATTATTGCTCTCACCCATTGTAGATACTTCATGGAGTCTTCAAGGCGTCGAGCGCTTGGTCAGGGCATGACATTGACTAGTCGAGGCAAGAGTCGTGATTATTAGCCCTCGCCCATTATAGATTCTTCATGGCGTTTACTAGTAGAGGCGCGGGCCGTGATCATATGTCACTTGATTGAGTTTCTCATCTCCCATGTAATTTGAGGGTCGTTTGGATGAGGAATTGTAACGGATCAATTTGACACAATTGTCTCATTTTGAGACAATTGTACCAAATTGCCTCGTTTGCCAGCAAAAAATTTGGATGGATCAATCTGCCTGAGGTATTTTGAATTGATCCGTTTTGAGTCAATTTCAATTACCTGGGGTGGGGGCAGGTAATTCGAATTGACTCATTTTAATTGCCTCGTTTATAAAACGAGATAATTGATCAAATTGACTCATTTCTAGATTGATCCATCCAAATTGGTATGTCTTTGCCCCCAAAAGGGTTCATGAGAATCCAATATTTAAAATCAAAGTAAAAGTTTTAGAGAGATAGAGTACTTAACTTTATGTTGGCGAAGCGGCGGGAAGAGTATTAAAATAAGAACGTTGCGCCTATGAATCACAATGTGGGTAAGTAGTCTGCTGGTCAGATTGCTTGTCCGATTATGGAGTGACTGGGTTCAATTTCTGGCGGCGACAAAATTATTTTTGACGTGAAGTGGAGAAAGGATGGACCGCGAGTTGGGCTGCCTGCAGCGCGCGCCGTGAGTTTGGCATTGCGGATGGAACTTGGTGGGCGGCCAAACTGGGCAGGTCGCGGTGGGCCTGAGCGGGCTCTGTGTGAGGCGGCACGCGGAAGGAGGAGCGGGACAGTTAAGCGGGCGGGCTTATGTGGAGCGGGCTGGAGAGGCGGATCAGAAGAGAGGACTTGGGCCGCGAGTGGGATATAGCAGGGTTGGGCGGTAGAGTGACGCGGAGGAGCATGAAGCGGACCAGCGAGTGGTGGGTTCATCTTCCGTGAGTGGGCTTGGGAGCGGGTCGAGTTGTTGGCGGGTGCATGATGGGTTTCGCATGCGAGTTGTAGACAGGTGGGCTTTGTGTGGCGCGAGTGAAATGAAATATTGGCTTGAGTTTGGATAGAGGCTGCTAATCCCTGTTGGCCGAGCTTGGCGGTGATTATTGTCTTCGTTGGCCCGACTGGAAGACTGAAGGCGAGCTCACGTGACACGGGCTTGGTATAGGAAGGTGCGACGCGGGCCACGAGACTGGGGTGTAGAGTGAAGCGGACTTAAGTAAGGCCGGCCGGATGATGTGTACGACGTTAGCACGCTAATAGAAGGCGGGCTTCTGTGACTGACAGGCCCAACTAACACTGTGTGAGACGAGGATAAAGGTGAGTCGGAACCATAAGATGCTCGACGCACCTGGACGTTGAAGGCGGGCCGAGAGTTCAAGTTGGACAGAACAAAGCTAATTTATGTCGAAGAGTGTAGCATACGGGTCTGTGTGCTTTCATTATGTAGAGATGGCGCGGTTTCGAATCCGTGTGTGAGCATTGCATTTTTTATTATTTGTTGAAGCTCTTTAGGCGTGGTGGCCCATAAATGAAGAGGGTCGCGAGTTGATGATTGGCCCACTTGACTAGTTGGTGAATGGACTACTGGGAATGAGCTGCAAGAATGAAGGTGGCCCATGTGGAGTGCACCGCCTGTCAAAAGTGGTGCGGGTTCTGTTTTAAATTGGAACATTAGATGTTTGTGGCGGAGTAAACTCTTCATAACAGTGCGTCGCACTTTGAGACATGAACGTGATGCTGCAGTCCCCTGGTCAGCGCTCCAATCTTTTGTTCCTTGAATGAACACGGGTTCGAATCTTGGCGAAGGCAATCTTTTTCGAGTTGCTTCACAAGATAGCAGGGCCTGGTGGAGGTAAGCACGTGGGCCGCGAGCTAGCGGTGCGAAGGCTTATGGAGGCCAGATTGGATGCCCCCGAAGTCTCGAGGCAGCTCAATTGAGCGCGGGCTGGATGGATGTTGGCCCAATTGGCGGTACGGGAGCGGGTTTCAGTGACCCGAGCATTGACTGCGAGTTGGTGTGTGGGGCAGACCTCGTGAGACGCAGTTTGTGGCGCGAGCCATGTAGAGCAGCAGAATTAAAGCACACTTTCCAACCTGGCATGCACTTACGTAGAATTTTGTCTCGATTTTCGTGCCTTTCTTTTTCTGACATAGGGAGAAAGTAGTTGTAACCCCCTTTTTTGTGGTAAGAAGTCATAACGATGTGACAATTCGCTATGATGGGGACTGCGGTGCTTCTTTTCCCCATTGGAGCTCCGACGCCAAATTTGTCTCCTGCGGTCATTTCTTTTTTCTTTTCTTCTTCTTGTTCTTCAGCTGTTGTTGAACTTTTTTTTTTTTTGCTTGTTGTTGCCGTCGGTAGGTGGGGAAGAAGGCCGATTTCCCTCTCCCTAGTGCCCGACCTGTGTTCGCCTGAGTTACTTGCCGCCGCTGCTCGTAGTAGTGACGGGAGCCGATCTTCCTCCCACCGTTTCTCTGTTTCCCGGTGGGTTCTTCCCTGATAGCTTTCTTTTGGTTTTCTTCGCTTCTTAAGCATACTCGAAAATCACAGAGTTGTTAGGGACAAAGTTCCCGATCTGCTTCTTCTGCTGGGTATTGCTCCTTTCTCTTCTCTTTTTTAGTGCGAATCCTTTTCACAAATTTCTTCCTCCTCCCGAAATCAGACAGCATGATCTTCTCGTCTTAGCCCCACGGTGGGCCCCAATTGTTTGTACCCTATAGCTCGAGGTATGAACAATTATATTTGTTGGTGTGGGGTTAGACTCACAATCCGTTCGTCTGATCTCGTCGGGAGGGAAGAAACCTGTGAAAGAGCCGGGGATGCTCCCCGGATTAAACTCCGACGAATCAAGTTAGTTTCTGTTTAGCATGAGTGTTGAGAGAACAAGGTAGAGAGATAAAGTGTAGAAAGATAGTGGAAAGTGAGGAGAGAGAAGAAGTCCCCTCCCTTGGAGGGTTTCATTCCTTTATATACTCGTAGCGGGTTTCGAGCGTCATACGTTATCGATTGGACGCGCTATTACTTAGTCTGTGCGCGGAGTGTCTTCGTAACACCCCCAACAGGTTTCGGTTCAATTACCCAAACTCGGCCCAAGATGACACCCTATCAAATTCCAATAACTAGAGTTTTTGGAAGAAATTCAATTATTGATCTGTTTACTAATCCTAGAGTCCCAGAGCCACTTGGTTTTTTGTCTAATAGCCAAGTCCAAGTGGGTAAGAAAGAAAGAGAGAAGAGCCAGGATCCAAAATCTCATCTTTCTCTCTCTCTCTCTTTGTCCTAGATCCCGGATCTTGTGCTGGTTCTACGTTGCTGGAATTTAACAACCGAACTCGTGACAAGTTTTAGGTTTGATAAATTCATCAATCCAGTACAGATAGACGAGAAAAAATGGCAAAAATTACCAGCACACCACATATCAGGCGCAATATGACACAGTGGAAGCTGGAAAATACGCATTTTGTGGAGCCCAAGAAAGCAAAACAATGACAACAATAAAAATGGCGAAATAATAATTTGGTGCACGCTTAGAGGCACTCTGACAAGGACTGCATAACGGCAATAATCGACTTCCCTCTCACTTGTTTCAGGGTATTTTTTAAAACAAGAATCTAAAAATCTGTACGAATGGCACATCGCAAGTAGCTAAAACATCAGAGCATGTTCTTGCCTTACGCATTCAATGGTGGGAGTGGTCTGCAACGGCCCCAACTTCCTGCCAGCGCTGCTGCTATCATATCGCCATTTTTTCTGTTCCCTTTTCACTCTGTATATCAAAACAAATCAATTTCAGTCATTCCAGACAGCAGATGAGGGGAAAAGGGTTTGCATCGCCGAAACAAGAAAGGGAGCAGCATCTATGACTTTAAGAAAGCATTTGGGCTTCGACTAAGACGTATCTATGCTGTCCATGCATATTGCAATGAACACTGGACTACTAGACTTCAATGCAAATATTGTGATGTGTCGTGTGGTCATGTGAGAGAGATCATGAAGCATCTGTCATTGTCAATCATTACCTAACTCAAGGAGGTTGATATGTACGCACTTGCAATATCATAACTCAGGTTGGGAATGTAAATTGGAAAACACAATCTGAAAGCGAAGGCAGTAGAAGGTTCAGTTCTAGGATCATGGTAGATGAACAGTTCAAAACAAGACAAATGTGAAGCTGCTTAAGTCATAAAGAGAGAGAGATGATAGATTATTAAGGTTGTAAGAATGAGTTTAAGGGCTGCAGGATTTCGTGAAAACAGTTCCAAGGCCAGAAGCTTGTTGTTTGAATAGGACATTTACCCTATTAAGTCTCCATCTACGAAGCTGGCCTAAAATTAGTCGGAAAGCAAGTTCCTATGTGACTAAATGGTCATAGTTTACACGTACAAGCCTTGATACTTTCAGTAACCAGCAAGACATAGAGTTAATCTAGGTTATTAAGAACAGAAACAATGCACTTACAGCTGAACACATAACAGGAGAGCCCTATTCCAGAAAATGGATCTTACCACTTTTTCTATTGTTCTTCATAGTATGGAGGCGTGGATGACGTTGGGAAAATGTATTAGCATTAGCTTGTTGTGTATCTGAAAGCAGCCAGGAAAAACTGTTTTGAGTTAATAAGACAGCTAAAGTTTTGAACTCGCTACTCCAAGCAAACCTGGTTTTATTCTTACCTTGTGCTTCTTCGGGAAGAATCCTCTCTCTGTTATGGTACCTGAAGATGAAGTAGAGCAACAAGAGTTAGAAACATGGAAAGATGGACTAATGTACCTGGATGCAGCTAACTGTAACATCACTATGATAAGCTGACCAAGTTGATCAAGCCCAGTCAAGCCACTGTGTGAAAATTTTGCAAACATTTGATTCTGAGCTAGATCGTGTATTTTGAAGGAGAAATATTTAAGCCCTTGTCCAGTGCTTCGAATTATAAGTAGCAAATATAAACCAAGTTCTACGTGTGCTTTCTGCAGTAATTTATTTTATTGCAGTTCAGATCTTTGTCCAACTGCCCCAGCATTGGAAAGACTAACTACTGCATCTTTACTAGTTGAAATAAACAGATAAATTGTGACACTACCTCGAAGCAGCAGGAACTCCTGCATGTAAATTTTCTGATATATGAAGTGTGCCAAGCCTCTGAATTTGCCTGGTCTGTGGCATTTAAATTTACGTCTTCTGCAGCACTACCACTTCTTGCTGCACTACCTGTATCAAGTCAAAACACTCAATCTTGGATACATTGCTGAATGTCATCATCACTGGAACTGAGTAATTTACCTGAAAGATTAGACCAAATTTTGGTGTTATCAGATGGATGCTCAGAAGCTGTTGCTCTATGACTACTCTCTGGTTGTGCTTGAGGCTCCTTGTGGATTACAGCTTGAGCTGGTATAGAGGCGGCCTATTGTGGTTCCTCAGAGGCATTTTCATCACGAAGCTGCGATATGAGCATGGTTGCAAGAACAAGTGTTGCGTCGAAGTTTGAACCAGATGAATCAGAAAGACCAATTTTTGGTGCCATTAAAATGGGCCTGTTGAACACATTTTCATAGTTAGATATACTAATAATACATATATAGGTAAAGAAGCATTATGCAATCTTGACTTTGACATTGCACATGATGAATGAGACAATGACGCGAAAAACAATCTAAGAATTTTGTTCTACGCACTACTGATAATTGCAAAAAAAAAAAAAATACAGCAGTAATCAGACTTGTCTTGGTCTTCTATAACAGAACCCTTCATCAGTTTTTCTTTCTATTACTCTCCCTGGCAACTAATTGTCCTTGGTCAAATTGAAATGAACCTTTAGGTATACTGTGCTAGAAAGCCAACAAATTTAATACATGTTGGACATAATCGATGCACTACTCTGCTGACATTGACCGAAATATAGGAAGTTATTTCATCAGCTAGTAGTTCTTTATGACAATTTTACCTGTAATCAGAATAACCTTAACCAATTACAAAGATAAAAGATGGGTTGGAATGGATGTTGAACAGGGTAAGTCAGAAGATGAGTTGCAGTGAAAGTAGAGAAACTGACTCAGAAAATGCAGTCAGATAGCAATATGTTGCTATGTGGGATGAGGGAGAAACAAAACACTTACTCTCCAGCCTTTTCAAAGTATAAATGTATATCGACTTCACAGCTCTCACAAATTGAAACAAATGCCTGCAAGTCCCAAAAATTGATTATTTATCAGTCTTTATTTGAGACAAAACTGAGAAGCTGGTGCACTACTGATCCCAAACAACAGACGCATGAGATCAAGATCTTGCAAAATGCATGAATATGACAAACAATGCCTGCTCAGGATACTAGCTTATCCCACCTTCAGTTCCTTCACTCCGAATGTAATATCAACAGGGTCTCCAACATGATTGTAGAGGACAAATTCTTCTGCAGGATCAATCCATAATTGAGTGTGCAGTGAAGAGTCATTGTCTACAGTAAACAGAATTGCAGTCAGCTATGCTCCATTCAAGTAATTAATAAACTCATAAGAAACTAGTAACCTTTTGTTGGATTGATATTTCTGAGTTCAACAGCTTTCCCTCCTATTTCACTAGCAGCATCAGCAGGAGAAGAAGTAATTTCTGTTGCAATGATCGTTATCTCTTGAAGTGATGACTGAAAATTTGCTAGCAGTCTGTTTAGATCGTGCGGCCTGACTATAAAGTTGCTTGGAAATCCATTCCTATCAAGAGTCAGATGTTGTATGTCGGGCTCGATATTGCAAGTAATTGAACAGGCCTTTCTCATACCTGCACAATATCAACTATGAATATGGTTGACACCTTCAAGGAGCATAGTCAATGAAATATTCCAACAGAAAACGTAGCACATAGCGAGCACATGAGAGCTAGTCTGATTTTCAGAAGCCAAATCTCACACGCGAAAACAACATGTCTAACTATTGTTGCTGGTGCATAATGAAACCGTCAGTGATTGCATCCACTTCTAGAAACCAGCACGTGAAGGAATCATTCCAAATTGCAGGAACACGAGCAGAGACATAGTAGAAAACGTTCCAGGAAAGAGCAGAAGCCATCAAATACGATACTCTTTGATAAGGACATTTTTACCGTTATTGCATTCCAAGGTCCATTGCACTTTGGAGGCTTCAGGATCGGGCAATTGAACTCTTAGATGATCAATGCTTTGAATAGGTGTCCTAAGGATGGCAGAAACGGCCTGAATTTGTGGAATAACAAGAATCAGCGCCTTTCAAGCACTGATACAGATCCTTCATCCTTTCTCTGGAACCAAACAACAATGAATTTACTACCAATACCTTGACAAGCACGCTGAATTTGACCTGGGCGCCGAATATCGTGTAAACATTGAAGAAGTCCGGCTTGAACGTAATAGACTGATAAGCAGATCTCGACGAGTTGAGAGTGTGAAATTCCAGCTGAAAAAACGTAAACGCAAACCAGTAATCAGCGAGAAGGAAAGCAAACATCGAACGAAGAGTAAACTCCAAACGCCAACTCTCGCTCGGTTTATCGGCAACCAAACTGTGAAATCTCAATAATGGAAGGAGAATGGATGAAAACCCGCAAGGGTTTTGGGTGCCTCAAGGGCTTGTATATATACCTCAATCAACAACTCTGTACATTCTCTAATTACTGTTTTAACGGTAACAAACGAAAAATCAAATCTATAACTAATAAGAGAACGACAGCTGGCTATCTACATTATAAATGGAATCAGCGGTTGCTTAATGCAACGACGTCGACCCAGCTCCTCAACTACTTCTGGGGAAAACGACTCCGTTTCACAAGCTCAAAGCAACCACCTCTGTTCGACTTCATCTTCTTCATTCTTCAATCTCCAATCTCCAGTTCCACTCATCGTGATAGCCTCCCTCAAGCTGACGCATACAGATTATGTATGTTCAGCTTGGACATCAGGAACTGGAGTCGAAACCTGCTAAGTCCTTTTGTGAATAAATCAGCAATCTGATTTTCTGTATCCAGATGACTTAGACTGATAAGCTTAGATTGAAGAAATTGTCGAACCACATGACAATCAATCTCTATATGTTTTGTTCTGTCATGATAAACAGGATTTTCTGCAATATAAATTGCAGAACGATTGTCACAAAAGACCTGGACAGGTTGTGGATGTTCAATGCCCAATTCCTGCACCAGCCTTTTTACCCAAACAACTTCACACGTGAGCTGAGCAAGAGCTCTGTACTCAGCCTCAGAGGATGACCTCGAAACAGTTCCCTGTTTCTTTGACTTCCAAACAATCAAAGAGTTGCCAAATGTAATGCAATATCCCGTTGTGGATCGTCTTGTATCTGGGCATGATGCCCAATCAGAATCACAAAAACCTTGCAAAAGAAGACTTGACTGTGATGGATACAGTAAACCTTGTCCTGGTTCATTCTTCAAATACTTAAGAACTCTGTATGCTAGTTGGAGGTGAGAAGTGGTAGGAGCAGCTTGAAACTGACAAAGCTGCTGTACTGCAAAAGTGATTTCAGGTCGAGTGATTGTTAAATAGTGGAGTCTCCCAACTATCTTCCTGTATAAGGCAGGATCTTCAAGTAATGGTCCATCATCAGCCTTTAAATAAGTCTTCATGTCAATTGGAGTGACCACTGGCTTACTTTCTGCAAAACTAGTGTCTTTCAAGAGATCAATGCAATACTTTCGCTGACATATGTGTAATCCCCCCTTTGATCTGGCAATCTCTAAGCCAAGAAAATAATGAAGATTGCCCAGATCACAGATTTTGAACTGAGAATGGAGGAAATCTTTCAGAGCTGCCATGCCATGATCATCATTGCCAGCAATTATGATGTCATCGACATAAACCAATAAGGGAGAGGTGCCTTGATCACTGTGATGGAGGAAGAGAGAGTAGTCACTGTGAGACTGTACATACCAAAAACTGAGTAAGGCTGAGGTTAATTTAGAAAACCATTGACGAGAGGCTTGTTTTAAACCATACAAGGACCTGTGTGTGAGAAACCATACAAGGTTTCTCACACACAGGTCGACAAACATGACCTGTGTGTGAGAAACCAGGTGGTAAGTCCATGTACACCTCTTCTTCTAAGTCCCCATGTAGGAATGCATTACTAACATCAAGCTGATACATGGACCAGTTCTTGGCAGAAGCAATAGCTAACAGTGTTTTAACTGTGTTTAATTTAGCAACTGGGGAATATGTATCAAGAAAATCAACCCCATATATCTGAGTAAAGCCCTTGGCTACAAGCCTAGCTTTGTATCTTTCCACTGAACCATCAGGATTGTACTTGATGGTGAATACCCATCTGCAGCCAATAGGTTTCTTTCCAGTAGGGCATTGAACCACATCCCAAGTGCCATTAGCTACTAGAGCTCTGATTTCTTCATACATGGCCTTTCTCCATCTCTCATCCTGCATAGCCTCTTCAAATGATTGAGGAAACAAAGTAGAATCCACAGCACATACATACTTCCTATATTCCTTAGATAAATTATCATAGGAAAGACAAGCAACCAATGGATATGAACGTTTGTCAGTGTCAGATTTAAGATTCAGGACATAATCTTGGTATTTAATGGGAGGTCCAACATGTCTTGTCTGTTTGCGCAGGGCAATAGAAAGGGAAGGAGGAGTAGGAGAGGACAAGGGTAGTGGTGAATGAGGTAAGACAGGTGAAGGGGAAGAAACACCAGAAGCAGGAGATGTGTGAGGTTGTAAAGGGGACACAGGTTCTGGTACTGGTGTAGGTTCTGTGTCCTGAGGCACAACTGGAGGACTTGGTTCCATAGGAGGAATGGGGGGAAAATGTTGTAAAGGATGAGAAGAAGAAGGTTGTTCCTCTGCAGAAGAAGTGAATGGGAGAGGAAGACAAGGAATAATGTGTTCATGGAAAATCACATGTCTAGAAAAGAGGACCTTTTGATTTGTTAAATCATAAAGTCTATAACCCTTAATACCAGGAGGATATCCTAAGAAAACACAGGGTTTTGCTCGAGGGGAAAACTTGGTTCTGTTATGTTCAAGGGTACTAGCATAACAGAGGCAACCAAAAACCTTTAGATCAGACAAATCAGGTGGAGAGTCATACAACAGCTCATAGGGTGTCTTGTTCTTGAGAGCTACTGTAGGCAATCTGTTAATAAGGTAGACTGCATGAAGAACACAGTCTGACCAGAATTTTAAAGGGAGTCCAGATTGAAACTTAAGGGCTCTAGCCACATTTAAAATGTGTTTATGTTTCCTTTCAACTCTAGAGTTTTGTTGTGGAGTTTCAACACATGACATCTGATGAACAATGCCATGTTGGGAATAAAAATCTGGCATATGGAATTCAGCTCCCTGGTCTGACCTAATGGTTTTGACTTGTTTGTTATACTGTGTTTGGACAAGCACACAGAAGCTTTGTAACAAATTTTTGGCTTCACTCTTATGCTTCATGAGATAAACCCAAACACATCTAGAATGATCATCAACAAGAGTAAGAAAGAACTGATAACCATTGTAACTAGTTGTGGCCAAAGGACCCCAAAATCAACATGAACAAGCTCAAAATTGTACTTTGCCACAGACTGGCTTGAAGAAAAAGGTAAATGCTTCTGTTTGGAAAGATGACAAACATTACAATGAGAAAAGGATTCTATAGTGATGTTTGGTATAGTCTTCTGTAACTCTTTGGTTCGAAAAATGGAAGGATGGCCAAGTCTCCAGTGCCATAAATCAAAAGTCTGCTGTGTAAGGTTCTGTGTCTTGATGGAATTAACAAGGGTAGTATTGGCTTCTGGTTGTGTGATAAGTTGATAAAGTCCCCTAGTCTCTTGGGCAAAACCAATCCTCTTCCTGGTTTGAAGGTCCTGAATGTGACAAATGTTGGAGGCAAAGGTAAGAGAGATTGGCATTGACTTAGTGAGCTTACTAACAGAGACTAGGTTAAAAGAAAAGGCTGGAACCAATAGAACATCATGGATGACCAAATCAGAAGTGAGTTTAACACTACCAGAATGTGTAGCTGGAGTTTTAGAGCCATTAGGTAAGGTGATTAGTATGTCCTGAACTGGTTTATAGGTAACAAAACTATGGATAGAACGAGTGACATGGTCAGTGGCACTTGTATCTAAAAACCAAACACTGACAAATTCCATTGGATGCTTGAGGAAGGATGCAGTTAAAGTGTATTTACCTGCAAATTGTGGATTAACAGAGAGATGTCTGCTCAGGGAGTTCACCATAGGTGATTGCTGTTGAGAAGTAGTATTCAGTTGAGGTCCTCCTGCTGCATTAGGTGAGGTTGGAGAAGCTGGTGGGTTGTACTGACAGAGAAGTCTCTGCAAACGGCTGAGATCATCATTGGTAAGCCTGATGTTAGTGTATCCATCATTCCCCTCAGCAATACTCTTAGACTCAGGCTTTGGCAAAATCCCAGATCCAGTAGAATCCAGCCCTTGTAACTGTCCAGCAAAACCAGGAGTTCCTCTAGTAGATCCACTCGACTCTTTGTTCTTCCTTTTCAGTCTATAGCAATCAGCAATCACATTATTGTCCTTCTTACAGTATCGACAGAACAACCCTCCCTGTGCATTATCTTTCCCCTTTGCTTGGTTTGCAGCAAGCAAAGCCACAGAATCCACTTGAGACTCAGGATTTGGCTTACCAATCTGTCGTTCATGCTGTATAGCATAGTGAAAAGCAACTTCCATAAAAGGTAATGGTTGCATCATGAACAAATTGGTACGAACGACACCATAAGCATCATTCAATCCAGTGATAAATCGAGTAACAAACTCATTTTCCCTATACTTTTTGACTGTGACCTCAGTAACACAGGGAATAGCTAGGTTTCGTGCTTGACCACCACACTCACAGTTAGGTATTGGAAGGAATTGAATAAGCTCTTCCCAGAAACCCTTCAGCTCAGAGTAAAATTGGTTAACAGACTTGTTACCTTGCTTTAGGGTATAAAGAGCTGTCTGTAAATCAGTGATTCGGATGTTGTCTGCTTGCCCAAAACGCTGCCTGAGATCTTCCCAAAGCAGCCTTGCATTGTCCTGTGAAGAAACGCTATCAACCAAGCTTGGATCCAGGGAACCCAGAATCATGAAATACACGGCTGTGTTGCTTTGTTCCCAAGCTGCATATCCTTCAGAAGTCGGATCTGGAGCGGAAATAGACCCATTGATAAAACCCAGCTTGTTCTTGCTCTTGAGAGCAACACGAACCGTTCTGCTCCATAGATTGTAGTTCGCCGTCCCTGTAAGCTTGATTGGGAACACCATAGACTCATTTGGGTTGATATAATAGGGATTGGTAACGGTACCCACTGTGGAAATGGGACCAGAGGTAGTAGAGGTAGAAGAAGAATCAGTAGCCATTGCAACAGAATGCTACCTAGAAACAAGAATGCGGGAATGGAGCTGGTACAGAAACCCTAGAGGCCGTAACCAGGCTCTGATACCATGTGAAATCTCAATAATGGAAGGAGAATGGATGAAAACCCGCAAGGGTTTTGGGTGCCTCAAGGGCTTGTATATATACCTCAATCAACAACTCTGTACATTCTCTAATTACTGTTTTAACGGAAACAAACGAAAAATCAAATCTATAACTAATAAGAGAACGACAGCTGGCTATCTACAGTATAAATGGAATCAGCGGTTGCTTAATGCAACGACGTCGCCTTGACCCAGCTCCTCAACTGCTTCTGGGGAAAACGACTCCGTTTCACAAGCTCAAAGCAACCACCTCTGTTCGACTTCATCTTCTTCATTCTTCAATCTCCAATCTCCAGTTCCACTCATCGTGATACAAACAAATCCAGAAGCGGAATCGTTCGACTCCAATCAATCATTTCTTCACCCCACTTACTCGTGATGGAAACAGAGCTCCGCCAGCGAGAGCAGCGAAAATTTTCATTAGAGCTCGAAATTGAGAAGGTAGCTTGGAAGAGAGCTTTACCTGAGAAGAAGCAGATTGAACGGCGAGCTCGTTGCCGGTACGAGCTAGACATGTGATGCACCGAGCAAATGTCTTCAAACCGTTCCCGCTGAGACTGAACTCCATTGCTCCGTCGCCCGGTCACCGTATCTCCCCGCCAATCTCAGAGCCGCCGCGGAGAAATTGCTGGGCGGGAAGGAGAAGGGAAAGCGCGCTAGTTGCTCCATTTCCTTCCTCCCCACGCTTGTTTAATTTCGTTTGTTTAATTTCTCGGTTTTCCAGTTCGAATTCAGGGGCAATCTCATATCTTCTGGGCCGGGCTGAAAGCCTGGACTAGCTTTATGGTCAAAGTATAGAAAAAGCCCAAATAGTAAGGCGCATTCATCATTCAAACTCAAAAGTCAAAACCCTACCGCAACTTCTTCTGCCGTCTGCTGTGAATCCTGAATCGTTTCGGTATCGGGAATTCAATCTCGTCGTTCTGATTTCTTTTTTTTATTTTTGGGTCCGAGACGGCCATATTTAGCTGAAAAAAGCAGAGAAGAAGCTAGTCTCGGAAATAAAATAAAAAATAAAGGGCTTAATTGCAAGTTTGGTCACTCGAATTGCTACAAAATTTCACGTTTGCCACTCAAATTAATTTATTCCATTTATAGTCACTTAAATTAGGTTAACAGTCCAAGTTTGGTCACTGGCCGTTAGTCTCCGTTAACTTTTGCTGATGTGGCAATTAAAAAATTAATAAAATAATTTAAATTAAATATTTTTATTTTCCACCTAATTATTATAAAAATAAAAATAAATTACTATTGACTAGAAAGAAAAATTGACGATGACTAGGCTCGCCGGTTTCTGAAACAGAGCCGACGCTTCCGCCGTGCCTGGGTGGGAGAGACCAGACCAATCGCTCTTCTTCTTCCTTTTAGGAACCTCTGACAACCTAATCGTTTCCTGCAGCTGCGACAACCCAATCGATTCCCCAGACGTCGTTCTTCCTCCGCCGTTTGCCATCGATGTTCGAGCCAGAACATCGTGAAAGCAGAGTGAGGGACCCAAATTGGAATCCAAATTCAAATTCTACTTTCCGCAGGACCTCCATGCCATTCTCCGCGAGGGCATCCCTTTTGGCCCCAATTTCCCCAACTGACGATCTTCCTCCCTCCAGCACCTCCAAATACTACGCGACCTCTCTGCCCTCGACCTCTCTGCCCTCGATATGGCCCATAAAGCCTTTTGGGCTCGGCTCTCTTTCCTTCCCAGGCATCCCAACAAATTCAATTCTCAGGAAAGGAAGATCAAAACCCCTTTGCATCATCTCTCTCCCAAATCCTAAAACCCTAGAATTTGGATATTGATGCTCGACAAAGGGAGAAGTGAACCTCATTCATTCCCTCCTCAAATTCGACCGTGCAAGTACCCCCATCATCGTCGTTGCAGATTCGCGGCGGCCGCTCGCCCGTCGTCCTCACTTGAGAATTTTCCGACTCACAGCGCCCCTCGACTAAAGCCCTGCGAATCATCATCTCATTGAGGTACGAGTTCGACAAAAATTGGAATGCCCATTGGAGAATCGCTGAAAGCCAGGACCTTTTCTGAATTCTGATTGCCCCCCCTGCTCTTCAGTTTCGATTGAACTCTCAGCTAAGTAGTCTTGTTATATTCCCTTAAAAGTTTGTGATTAGAGATTCCCCTGTTTCGATAACTGTTGTGAAATGATCATCGGCGCCGAGCTAAATTTAGGTACACTATAGGTTTTGGTTTGAATCTGGCTGTCTGAATTCCTTGTTGGTTTGGTTGATCAGTGTCAGGATTCGTATGTGTCATTGAACCATGACGGTGTTGAAGAGATACGTGCTAAGGCTGTTCATATCGCTGAGAGGTCGAGGGCAGAGAGGTCGAGGGAAGGAAAGATAACGCTCTTGCTCTCGTCCCGGTTTATCGAAATTGCTACATCTCAGCCTTGCCCGAAGCTTTTGGGAACTCGATTTTCTTCGCGGACGAGGAGGTGGTCCAGGTCCTAAGCCTCGACATTGCCGGGTTCTTCCGCCAGCTCCAGTTGTTGGGAACGGTAGGGTGGAAAATAAAAATATTTAATTTAAATATTTAATTTAAATATTTATAATAATTAGGTGGAAAATAAAAATATTTAATTTAAATTATTTTATTAATTTTTTAATTGCCACGTCACTCATTTAACGGTCAACTATAAGAGTTGACCGCCACATCAGCAAAAGTTAACGGAGACTAACGGCCAGTGACCAAACTTGGACTGTTAACCTAATTTAAGTGACTATAAATGGAATAAATTAATTTGAGTGGCAAACGTGAAATTTTGTAGCAATTCGAGTGACCAAACTTGCAATTAAGCCAAAAATAAAGAGAAGAAGCTAGTCGCCTCTCCGCCACAGCGTCTTCTCTTCAACACTACCGGGCTTCAATTGCCCTGTCTCTGGCTACAACAGACCACGGTGCTGCAACCAGGAAACTAGAGACGGCGAGTTGCGTGTACGGCAGAGACACCAAGGGCGAGTTCTTCAATCATCCTCCCCTAGGCGAGACCGCGAAAGAGAAAACTGCCGCCACTCCGGCCTTTGAAAGGTGAAACTCTTCATTTTGGTAAGGATTCTAGGAAAATTCCTTCAATCTAGGGTTGTTCTGTTTGGAAATTTGATAAATTAAGGATCTTTTCATCTTAGTGAGAAGCCCCAAAAATTTTCTAACTATTCTGAACCAATTAGCGTGTTCAGTGGCGGAGACAGAATCTGAAAGTACTTGTATCCTCTTTCCATAATATAAAATAAATAAATAAATAAATATTTAAGCAATATAATTAAAACTAATAATATCTAAATCATTTATTCCTATATATTAAAGAAATACTAGACTAATAAAATCATTATTTTCATAACCAATCACAACGCATTTTCAAATTCTCAATGTATGCGACTAAGCAATCATTAGAAAATTGATCGCAATTCGACTTTAAAACTTGTTTTTAATATAGCTCAAAGCTGAAATTGTTCTTTCTACACTTGCAATTGTAATGAGTAGAGTCAAAACTAACTTTAGAAGACAAAGAGATCGACCTTTAGGTACCGTGAATTTTGTTTATAGTGAGATACATTGACTTATGTTAGCTTTTAAACTTGAAATAACTTGTAGTGTAGTGATAAAACACTTTTATATTACCTAAAATTGACGAGTGCAATCCTTAATTGATTCATATATATAGGGTATATTATTTTACTCAAAAATTACCTGTGTCCCGGGACACATCCCATACCCCCTAGCTCCGCCTATGCGTGTTTCCTTTATGGTCACAAATCAATTGAGCTCACTTTGATGGCTATATTTTGTGCTCGAAAGTTCTCTTTCACGGCTACCCTCGAAACTTTCTAGGTCCTTGGAAGAACATTTTCATCCATATACACTTGGTCACTTTTTAATCTTTCAAACTGGGAGCTTTTATATTGAATCGGTGATCATGAAATGCTGGGTGAAGTGCGAAACTGTGGTTGGTAGGTATAGAATTTGTATTCCACTGAAACATTATATTATTTTTGCATGTAATATGTCACTGTTCTTGGCCCTGATTCTTACCGGTGAAACACTGATTGAACTTCTGACCATGAATATCTTTTTCCGGACTGGTTTCTTTTTCTGCTCAGACAACATTGATGAAAAGCCTTTCCCTTTCAGACTGGTGACTTGTCTCATTGCTCCTGCATTGCAATAGCCAGTGAACCAGTGTTCAAGCCGGGTGTCTTTCCCTTTGCTCTTGCCCACCAACAGCAGATTTGGGAGGTTTGATGTTACTCGCTGTGAATTAGATCACGTTTTCGGCTCCTTCCGCAAATATATTCATGTTTAGGTGCAGTAACCTCTCCTCCCCCCCTTTCTTTTCGATCGGTCTTCTTTCAATATATTTGTATCCGACACTTTTTGGTGATTGGCTGATGACTAATGATGTTCCTTTGTTTTGGTGCACAGATTGGTGCCAGCCTGCAAAGCAAGGCATATTCAACAGTCATTTAAAACTTGTAGCCAGCTTTTCTCGGTACCTCCAAGTTCTTTGCCACCATACCGATTTGAATATGGGAACAGTGGGATTGACCTCGATGGTTTATTCAAATCCTGCACCAAACTTGAACATGCTAAGTGCATTCACACACTTATGCTGGTATCGGGAAAAGCTCAAAGCAGCTTTCTTTATGGGAAACTCATTAATTTTTATGCACAGCTTGGTCCCATCTCATTTGTGGAAGACATTTTCAAAAAGAGCCCAAGATCGGACGTCTATTTGTGGAATACTATGGTATCTGCTTTTGTTCGACGTGGTCACTTCCATAAAGCGGTAGACTGTTTCCACCAGTTTCTACTGACCTCTGGTGTGCGACCTGATTTCTATACCTTCCCTCCAGTGCTGAAAGCCTGCAGAAATCTATTTGATGGAATGAAGGTTCATTGCTCCATCTTGAAGCTTGGCTTTGAGTGGGATGTCTTTGTGGCTGCTTCCTTAATACACTTGTATTCAAGGTTTGGGGTTGTGGAAGGTGCTTGCAGATTGTTTCACAATATGCCATACAGAGATAGTGGTTCATGGAATGCCATGATTTCTGGATATTGCCTGAATGGAAATGCAGCAAATGCATTGGAACTTGCAGATGCCATGAGATTAGAGGGGGAGAAGATGGATGCTATTACCGTCGCTAGTACTCTTCCTGCATGTGTACAGATGAATGATGTTGTAGGAGGGAAGTTGATGCATTTGTATGCCGTCAAGCATGGCTTGGAGCTCAATTTGTTTGTCTCCAATGCATTAATCGACATGTATGGAAAATTTGGCAGGTTAGGTGATGCAAGGAGAGTTTTTGAGCAGATGGTTATCAAAGATATTGTCTCATGGAATTCTATAATTGCTGCATATGAACAACATGGTGAACCCATCGATGCTCGTTTACTATTTGACAATATGCAACAATTGGGAATCCAACCTGATGCATTTACACTTGTTAGTTTGGCTTCTACTGTTTCTCAATTGAGTGATCACAGGAGTGGCAGGTCCCTACATGGATTTTTACTCAGGAAGGGATATTTTTCCGATGCTGTTATTACTGGAAATGCAGTGGTGGACATGTATGCCAAAATGGGTACCACAGAATACGCAAGAGCTGTCTTTGAAGGACTCCCTATTAAAGACGTGGTTACGTGGAACAGTTTAATTACTGGTTATGCTCAGAATGGTTTAGCAAACGAAGCAAGCAATATATTCCATATGATGGAAGAGTCGAAAGATATATCCCCAAGCCAAGGTACATGGGTTAGCATATTACCTGCTTACTCACAGCTAGGTGCCTTGGGGCAGGGGATGCTAATTCATGCTCGGGTTATAAAAGACTCCATGTGGTCAGATATTTATGTTGGAACATGCCTTGTTGATCTGTATGGAAAGTGTGGTAGATTGGATGATGCTGTGTCTTTATTTTATGAAGTGCCTAGGCAAAGCTCTGTTCCTTGGAATGCCATAATATCTTGTCACGGAGTTCATGGACATGGCGAGAGAGCTCTTGAATTCTTTCGAGAAATGCTTGATGGAGAAGTGAAGCCAGATCACGTGACATTTGTTTCTCTACTGTCAGCTTGTAGTCATTCAGGTATGGTAAGCGATGGGGAGTGGTGCTTCTGTTTGATGCAGGAAAAATTTGGAATTAAGCCTATTTTGAAGCATTACGGTTGCATGGTAGATTTGTATGGCAGAGCTGGTCTCTTGGACGTGGCGTTCGAGTTTATTAAAAGCATGCCAATGAAGCCTGATGGTTCCATCTGGGGTGCTTTGATCAGTGCTTGCAGGATTCATAGGAATGTTGAGCTGGGTATATATGCTTCGGATCGCTTGTTCGAAGTCGACTCGGAAAATGTTGGGTACTATGTTCTACTGTCGAATATGTATGCGAACGCTGGGAAATGGGAAGGAGTTAATGATGTGAGGTCTTTGGCTAGAGGAATGGGGTTGAAGAAGACTCCCGGATGGAGCTCGATTGAAGTAGACAAGAAGGTCAATGTGTTCTACACAGGGAACCAGACTCATCCACAGTGTAATGAAATATACAAGGAGCTGAAGGAATTGTGTGAGAAAATAAAGGCCAAGGGTTATGTTCCCGACTTTGGTTTCGTGTTGCAGGATGTCGAGGATGATGAGAAGGAGCATATCCTCATGAGTCATAGTGAGAGGTTGGCGATTGCATATGGAATAATCAGCACTCCACCCAAAAGCTCCCTTAGGATCTTCAAAAACTTGCGAGTCTGTGGAGATTGCCATAGTGCGATTAAGTGTATATCCGATATCACAGGTAGGGAAATTGTTGTCAGGGATTCCAACCGTTTCCATCATTTCAAGGATGGAAGTTGTTCCTGTGGGGATTACTGGTGATGCAGACATTACTGTGTAGCATAACATTTAGCTTGTGAACCTTTTCGTCCATTATGCAATCCGTTGCATGAACGTTAACTGAATTGGGGGAGAGATTTGGGGCGTTTTATTTGTTAGTAACTCAAGTATGCCAACTGCTGTTACACTGGCCAGTTCACCACTTTTGCTCTGTGTGGCTTCGTCCGTGCTTAGGTAATCTGGCTCTTCATTAATGCTTTGATGCTTCCTTGTTTGTGTGCTAGACTGCTAGGTAGTACTGTGAACTGTTCTTAGCTTCTTAGATAATCTATGTCTCTCTGGTTGATAATCTAGCTTTGGAACGTAGATTATTGCGAAGTTTGGTGGCAATGTAATTGTTGATTCCAGTGGGTTGAAATGAGTTCTGAGAGCTGATGACCCAGAGCAGTTACAAGCACTTAATTAGTTTGTTATTGGGGTTTTGATTCATAGCGGAAAATAGCTCTGAAATGTGAGCAACTCTAAATATAGCACTCTTATGTGTTCCTTGTTTTCCACTGATTGAATGAATGCCTTTGGATTGGGCCATTTCCTGTAGGAGTGAGTTGGAGCAGCACTTAAACCTCTAGTGGCCAATGACTAGTTGTTTAACGATAAACCAAGCAAGGGTCTGTTATTGAGTTTGTATTCTCTGCTTGTCAATTGTGCAACTCTTTGTACTAGCTAGTCCACTTGTTTTGGCTATCATCCCCTGTTCCCTAGCATATTGAGGGATTCAAGTTTGCTCTGTTGTGTTTTGTTGTGTTCTCTGTTGTGTCCATTGGGAACCTGTAAAGGCTAGTTAGACCCTAGTCTGCTGGTCAGTTGCTCCATCTCGTGGGCTGTGAGGTTCTTTGGTCTGGTTAACAGTTATATCACTCTATGTTTAGTACGCTAGCTGTATCCTTGGTATTATGGTCAATGATGATATACAGATTTAGAGAACCGATGATATGGTTTCTTGTAAATGGTCTGTTATTTGGACGATTCTAATGCGTGGAATGTGTGCTTTTTTTTTTTGCTCTTTTTCCGAACAGAGGACCAATGAGATAGTGGGATTCCTTATTATATGGCGGTTGAGGTACCGAAACAGATAGAAGTTTATGTATGGAGTGCCACAGAGTTATCCTCGACATTCTACTATGTGGAGTGCCATCCTACTGGGCAAGTTTGTTATTGGCACTGAAATGTTAACATAGCTTTATCTTTAATGCACATTACAACACAAAAAGATGCCTAATCATACTATTCTACATTTGCTTTGCAAGCTAGTTTACTTTGATTTTTATGCTAAGAAACTGCTTGGTCATACAATTTTCAATGATTACCAAACTCAAGAAGAGAGCTTTAATGGTAATGATTGCCTACTTATTTGGTTGTGTAGTCTTGCTTCATCTAGTTGCTTCGAAGCTTTGCTATCTGAAGTGCTGCCACTTACAGTTTTGCGCTGTTCGTTCGTAGGTGGTAGCCGATCACTTACATTAGAGGAAGTGGCTGGCATACAAGAGCCATTTGACATGATGGACACTACCGGAAAGGGCAGAATTAACATCGATGAGCTTAATGTTGGATTGCACAAGCTCGGCCAACATATTACAGATTCGGATCTCCAAATCGTTATTGAAGCTGTAAGTATTTTCTTTACGTTTAATTCTCCCAAAATGAACAAATAACTCCTAGATTTGTTTGTCAGAAGGGCTGACATGACAGTAAGACCATGTTTGTAGCTAGGAAGAGACATTACTAACTAAACATAAAAGTAAGACCATGTTTATATTAGTGTTACGGAGATAATATGAGAAGACAGTCTTCTTTGGATCATTCGTTACTGTATCTCACGAGGCAAAGTTGCTTCTACAGTTTCTTGTCGTGTATGCCTGATAGCCATGAAAAACTGAATGTGTTTCTTTACGCTAACCATATAGTTGTCGACAGTGTTAGTTTGCATCCTTTTCTTTGAAACCTTGTAGTTGTGCATCGAGTTCTAGCAAAGTTTCAAACTTGTCGGAACCTTGCAGTTGTCAAAATGCAATAATCATCTTGGTGACCCTAGTTCTTGTGGCAGTCTCTTTTCAAGATCAATGAGTGGTTATTGGTCAAGCTTTCCTAGTTCGACTAATGACTTAAAACAGTTGAGGCATCAAATGAATAATCCAACAGCTCGGCGGGTATATTTTCCTTATTCCCTTTATGCCTGGCCGGTGTACTTAAGTCCATATTGAAGTTAAGGATTGCTATCTCTTCTTTGCTATGATTTATTTCTTCTGGTATGTTGTGTTAGCCTTTGTTGATTGCCTTATTCAGGTAGCTTTGATTTACGAAATAGCAAAACTACTGTCTTCAATAAAGAATGAAACCTTTGTTGCTGCTGGCCAACTTTTACTGCATTCAAGATTTGCGGAAAATGCTGATTGATTGTTTTGTTTCTCTATCAACCTATTTATCGAGTGCTGAGTTTTAATGGCATTGAGGTCAAGACTTGGGTGTGTACTGGCCAGGCGAAGTTAAGCAAACTCTAGCATTCATTTCAAACTTAATACTTGCACGTGAAGACGATCAAGTGCTGAATATATGTCTGTGTTTATATTGTGTGATCATTGCAGCTTCAGGCGACACCAGAGCATATGAAATTGGGCTTGTTTACTAGTTTATTCAGCTGTCTTGCATGAAGACTTACTTCAGAAGATGAAATTGGGCTTGTTTACTAGTTTATATTGTGTGATCATTGCAGCTTCAGGCGACACCAGAGCATATGAAATTGGGCTTGTTTACTAGTTTATTCAGCTGTCTTGCCTGAAGACTTACTTCAGAAGATGAATGAGGGCCATCTGGAACTGCTTTTCGTATTGAGGAGGTCTTTTTTGTCATCCTAAAATTCACGCTTATTTTCATCTACATGTACCTCACCGGTCTGGGATTTCTGGGCGAGATCGCGGCAGGCATCAGCAAACTTGTAGGTAGAAAATGACTTTTGGGCGGCGGCCATTGTCAGCAAAAATATCGGAAAGAAATTCTGCTGGTTTTGTGAGGGTTCTAGGGATCGGAGAAGGAGAGAGATGGGCAAGCAGAGCTTGGCAGGAAGATCTGAATTTGGTTGATGGATTGAGGATCGTGGGAAGTTCATGGCGCTCATTTTATATGGGAAGAGTGGGAAGTGTAGGGTGTAAGTTTTGGGTTTCGACTTCGATTTTTGGTCTGCATCCGTATCAATAATACAGGATTTAGTTTGTTCATTTCTGAAATGTCACCGATGAGATGCTATGGAGTCAATTTGGCCGTTGATATGAGTACATGGTTACAATTTCCTGGGAATTGAGCAAAGGTACACTGGAAAAGCATCGGTTACAGGCCGCATACGTTGATGTAATGCAGAGAGTTCATACTTCTTGCAGATTGGGGTTTAAATCTCTACTGAGAGGTGACAAAGAAACTGATGTCAACCATATCTCATCAATTCAGATCACCATCCCAGACTAACCATATTCCATCAATACAAGTTTACTTCCTTTCAAGGGGATTTGCTATTTCCCCATCTTCGCTGCATTTTACGTCATGATGGCAACCTGAGAGTCACCGTTATACCTACATTTGAACAGTCAAATATGCTTATTCAATGGTGACACAAATAACATGTTTACTTGGTCGGCTTTCAAACCTTAAAATCCAAGGATAGAAGGCAAAGGAGGGTGCACAAGTCAACTCCCCACAAGGCATGACAATGTAAAACAAGTCTTCTGCAACCCAATACTCATTTTTGCGATGCAATTGAAAGTTGAAACGTGCGCCTGAACTGTAGTTTTCCCAAGAAAACTCTGTGGTTACAAACAAACTGTAGTTTCTCCAAAGCTGTTGTTGTAGTTTACTTTGAGATTGTCATGTAGTTTACTAACCCTGGTGATTTTTTAGACTGTTGTAGTTTACTTTGTACATTCTGTCTTTGTTCTTTTGCTTATGTAGGATTTGGATTGGATTTGTAATTTTGGTTATCCATTGAATGGATGTGGTGCATATATATGCAGGTGACGCTTGCCTCCTTTGAACCAGAACCTGGAGTAGCTGTAATGTAGCTGCCGGGAAAGAGAATTGATTGCGAGCAGCGAATCCGTAATGTAGATATGCAATTTTTCCAAATCTCCAGGTTAGCTGTTGATCTCTGTGAATTTCACCATTATCCATTTACTTTGTATCTCGCCTTTGGTGCGGCTGAATAGTTTCAGATTTGCTGATTTGTGCTTGCTTTATTGAACGATTTGGACTATGATTAAAGGTTGAGTTCAACTTGGATATAAGTTCTGATAATCTCCCGCTTATAAGTATTGAAGTCTGCTTGATTGATATGATTTTCTTTGTTTGGGTTGTTTTGGAGTCACAAAACCAGTGGAATCTGGAGGAATACCAATTTCTATATCAAATCCTGATTATATTGTGCATTCAGGCTAAAAGAAAATCAACATTTTAGTTCGTGGGGTGTTCATTTGTCGATTAGAAGTTACTTTTATGTTTTCTACTCACTAGTTCTCAACTCTCGCAGCTCAAGTGGGAGAACAAACTGCTGCTGCTTACTGCTTAGTGGTAAGTTTAGCTCCTTTTTAAACACTATAATCTACTTTCTATCTTCTTGCTTTGGTTCCTCCTTAATCTCATGTGTAGCGGGTCCGACGTCTGGGATTTTAATCTCTTTTGAGATTAACTACAATGTTGCTTTCTTTGTTTTCTTTTTGGTTCTTCGCTCATAATGTATGTATGATGTGTACATTGATGATTGTGCTATGAGGTGTTCAAATCTGGCTCTTAAGAAGGCTGAAATCACCATAATGATGCTGCCAAATGAAAATATGGATCCTAATTACTAGATATCTCATGTTTACAGGATAGATTGGTAGATCATATATGATACATTTATTAGACAACAATTTAGCTACATGGGTACTTTGATGTTAATAATCTGCCAGAATAAGTTCCCTTGGAGCTAGGGAGGAAAATGCTTCACTTTTTTAGTTTCAATTGCATTTGTTTATGTGAACTCATTAAGGTAATTTTGTTTTGCCTGCAGAATTCAATTGCAACCAAAGTGGGTGTGGCCACTGAAAGTAGGTGTAAGCTTGACCCTAAAAATCCATTGATCCGTCCGACCCGCCCCGACCCTAAGGGTCGGGCTGGATCCGATTGGATTGGATTCGAGTTGGAGTGGGGGAATGGCTCTGTTTTGGGGAATGGTATGAGTGAGATGAAACCGGATTCAAAGCGATTGAACTCGTACTCGGATCCGTTGAATTTGAATTCAAATGGGTGGAATATTAATGCAATTTGTCTGTTTCGAATTTGAGCTCAGATGCAATGAGAAATGGTTCAAATGTCGCGAATGATAACGGAGGATTGGATGAAGAGGGAGACGACGAAGGTTGGGAATTCAAGGTCGCTGAATCCAAAGTGGAAGGTAATGTTAAAGTGGCTTGAATCTCTAGCGATTCTTATCTTTTTAGAGCATTGATTCCTTTTATTGGCGTTTCTGGCTTGCAGTTCTGGTTATACAGGTCAAGAGTACTGACTACTGATAGATTTCGGGGCATTGTTTTCATGGTTTGTCTTCCGCAGATAAGAAAAAATTTACCACTTACCTTTATCTTCCATGTGCACAGATGTTCTATGTGTCTGTGAATCGGCGACAGCCAGAGCAGATGAAGAATCGGAATGAGCGGACTTTTCATCTTAGTGAGCTGAACTCTAGCTGCAATGGGGCGAATTTTGACTTTTCTGGATGGAATAAGAGCACTGCTGGAGTCGATCAGAGTATGCATTAGCTGAGTAGTGGCCCAGTTCGTGAAAGGATAGAGCCTGCTAGCAATGATGTGTGTGGATGTGTTGTTCCATATGCCCACAGATGAGGAAATCATGGTAGATTGAGTATTTTCTTTCCTTACCATTTGACACTCTTTTTCGGATGAATCCAGCTAACATGGGTCTTGGCGCCGAGTGTTTATAAATATTTGGTTCAGACGTTATGATTTGTGCACCAGTCCTCCCCTTTAGATATGTCTATTTGGGATTACATGGATATTAGATTACTTGTGTTCTTCTTCATAAAGAAAAGAAAGGTTACTTGTGTTCTTTTGCACCTGGGTTTTGAAACCAGATGTCATAGGTGTGATTCCTGTATTATTGGATGAGAATGATGGATTTTCTGATTTGGATGGCTGGGCCTTTATCAAAGAAACAGACTTGCAAGGAAGATGGAGATGCTAGTTAAATGTGTGGTTCTACAAAATCAATTGACAATGTTCTGTCTCCATCAAGCAAATTCAGTAACCTTGATTTGTTAACATCTTGACTAAATGTAAAATTATAATAGTAGAAGCAAAAATGTCTGTGGACCTGAATCCTAGTTAGAAATAAGTCTCTTGTTTCTGCAAAAACTCTAATAGTGCTCCTCATTGAAGTAGTTGATTGTCAGCTGTCAAAAAATAGATGTTAGCATAACAAGTTGATAATTGGTTTTGCTATTTGATTTCCTGCCTTTCTTGTTATCATGTATTCCATTCAGCTGCGCGAAAGATAGAAGTTTCTCATTCCTCCGTAGTTGGAAAATGACCCAGAACTGCAATCTACTGTGATTGATTCAAGTCTGAATATGTCCAACTTAGATGGAGGTTGTGATGTTAATCGGTTGCTACTTATTGGGATGCAAAGGAAGTGATTTCAGATACAAAACAGTTGAACCCAAATATAGTCACTGAAACCGAGGATCTTGAGGGGACTGGGGATTCAAGGTTGCAGAAGCAGAATCAACGCTCATTGATTTGAGTAGTAAGGTAAAAGGAAAGCAGTAGTTGATTTTTTCTTGTTTAACAATTAACATACTACATGTGTTTGCTTCTTTGAGAATTGTGCAGCAGAAAACTATTAGCTGATTCCAATTTGCCTTTTGGTCGCGTTAGTGGGGCTTATGTCTAGGGACTTTGTTTCGTCTATTCCTTCCTGAATTTGGAAGTGTTTTGTTGTATATTTGGTCAACTTGTTCAGACTATAACAAATGAGATAATATTTGATTTCTCTTTGATACTTTGACTTCATAAGATCCCTTCTTTCTGGTGACACTCATTCCCTTTTGGTCATAGGCTATTGAATTGAGGCGTGGGGACTGTAAAGCAGACTTTCCTCTGTCACTTTTTGGTGATGAAGAAACAGAGACCAACTATCCTGTTTTTATTATGAAGTCACTTCAGTTCAGATTTCTGCTCCACAACTAAGAGAGGACAATTGGGGTCTTAGTTCCAGACTCTATATTAGTGATCTAATAGATATCAAGTTTGTACAGTGAAATTGAGCAAACGGTTACTGCCAGTCACTTGCAGAATCAGGATGGAAATGGATGGGGCTCCACTGAAAATGCATTGGCTTTCAATTCATCCAATGATGTTGCAATTCTGGATGATGATTATTCCTGGGAGTTCAAAGATGCCTCTGCAGCACCCATGGCCGAGGAGGAAAAATCCTTTCCCCAAGATTCTACAAAAAGGCCAGGTACATAGAGCATTCTGATTGGATAGGCTTGTTTACCAAACTGGTAGGAAGAATTATGTCTGGTTTCAGTCAAACATCTTGAAAATATGAAGGTTGGTGGACTTGCTAAATGTAACCAAACACCCTCCCCTCTAGAAGCCAAACAAACTCTTCTCTTGCAAAGGATTACTTATAATGGGTTTTAATTTTTCTTAGCAAGTTCGTGGTCTTGCAGCTCTTGCTGGTGAGGATGCTGGTGCAAGTCACCTGGATAAGGAAATACAGGTTGGTGGCATCTCTAGTTCAGTGAAAGATTAAATAGCAACGAATTGGTGGGTGATTGCTGTGATATCAGGGAGCATATTTTATTGTCCTCTCAAAACTTCTTCCTTCTCTGTTGCTCTTTCACCCTTTTCGTTCATGACTTCGTTTGTCCTGCATTGGGTGGATATGGCAAGAGACTATTAGAAAGTAACTTTTGTGTGTTTCTTCTGTCTGCTATTTAGGATGTGCATAGTGAACTGCGTGAATACAGCACTATTCCTGAGATTCATTCAGGAGATCAGTTGCCACGTGAAATACGAATCCATGAATTGTTTGAAGTGTTGCAGCAACCAAAGTTCTTAAGTCATTGAGTCAGGATATCAGTTATCATTAAAAGTGTTGTCGGCACGTTGTTATCATAAGCAGCAATTTCTTTTTCTAGTTAAGTTCGGTTAGATTGTTTTTTGACTAGTCTAAGACTATTATTTCAATCTGTTGATAGGTACAGAATGACTCAAAATCTAGGCTCCTACTTTTCAAGAATTTTAAAAATTTTGACCTTAATATCTGGACAGGAACATATTAGTTACGTTTCAGCATGGTCTAAGATGCTCTGTCAATGTGCTGAAGAGCTGAAACACGGGTCTATGATGTGGAGCCACTTGCTACAAGTAAACATTCAAGATCGAGTTCTCTCAACTCTCAAGCATAAAGTAAACATCCAAGATCGAGTTCTTTCAAGCATTGAAGGTATAATAACAAGCATCTTGTATGGAACTTAATTCAATGATTGTTGCAGAGTAGTCAAAATTCTTGGATCAAATACAGGAAAGAGATATTTCCTTGCTGTTGGGGAAATTTACAGAGTTTCTGAAGTTGTTCCATCCACTGCCAGGCTTTATAAGCCATGGATATTGTTAGAACAGACCGACTCCATATCATTCTCCACCATCATGAGCGAGTGTTGTTCTCTATGGTCAAGCTCAGGACTGGAAGAAGCTCTCTTAAGCACTTGTGATGGTTCTGTGAAGGCATTACTATAATCCATTAAGTATCTTGATAATCTCGAGGATGATACACTTTACGAGGTTGTTTTCTGTGGACAAGGCTACACTTGTCAACACTCAGGTCAGGTCTTAATCCCGGAGTAGTGCCAGGTAAGCAGCACGACTGCGTGCATATTCTAGGATGGATTCAGCCGAGCTGGTAAAGTAATACTAATGCAATTTCTCCGTACAAACATTGGCCCGCAGCGCAGCCGCACACGCACAGCTGAATCGGACAACCCAAACAGAGCCCGGGAAACTCCGACAACCAGTTGACAGTTTGTGGACTAGATAGATTAGATAGCAGCATATAGATTATAGACACAAACGAAAGCCGATTGATTGCAAATTTCTTGGCTTTGTTGCAGACAGCTTGGTTATTCTCTAATTAACTTGTCCGCCCCCATTGTGGTTTGGGGCCCAGAACTTGAAGTGCAGAGGTCTCATCTCCAGCATCTTCTCAACTTGCTCAATGGGCAGTCCTTTAGTTTCGGGAACGCATACCAAGACGAAGAAGAAAGCAACTAGTGACACAATTCCAAACAGCATGAAAGTCATGCCCATCCCGATAGATTGGGTCAAGGACAGGAAGGTGAGGGCTACGATGAGGTTGGACATCCAGTTGGCTTGGCGGTCGCTGCTATCCCTCCACAGACACCTCTGAATCTCAGCGGATAGATCTCCGAGTTAATTATCCAGGGGGCTGTACCCATTCCAGGCGAGAATGTAAAGATGTAGAGAGCTAGGCCGAGCAGTGCCAACCACCCGAATTTGCTCGGACATCCCCTCGTATACCACTCCATGTGCTGGGCGTGGCAAAACTTGTTCACACTGTCGTTTGACATCAAGCAAACTCCTGGCAGCAGCTGGATCCAAAACAATGGCGTTTGCGAGCTGTTTAAAATCTAGTCGATCTAGTAGTTGAGGCCATTATATATATATGTATTGATTGATTGATTGATTGTAGCAGAAGCCACAAGCAGGAGAAGAAGACTTTATACAGGCCCTGCAGTCCCAGGAAGCCGAGTTGGGTGTGCCATAGTCAGGGGCAGGGCAGGTCATGTTAGAGAATTTGGTTCCGCTAGCCACAGTAACCATGGGAGTGGTGGTGTTGAGGAAAATTCCTGTCAACATGGCAAGTGAAATGGCCACTCCAGGCAAGCTGAAGAGTAGAATCGTCCTTCTCCCCGTCCTGTCGATCAGATAGATGCTGACGATGGAGCCCAAGGCATTGATTCCGGCGGTGACAAGGGACAGAAGCAGTGCGGTGTGGTTGGATGCGTAGCCAGCGGATTGGACTATGGATGGACTGTAGTACATTACGGTGTTGATGCCCACAAATTGCTGCAACACCTGGAGGCCGACACCGGCGATCAGCCCTCTCCGGACGCTCTTGGTTTGCCACAGCTCCTTGAAATTTGTCGTTTCTTGTTGGCGGGCGGCCCATCTCTTCATCTCCTGGATTTCCGCTTCAACGTGTTCTGCTGGGTGGATCGATGGCTTCGGCTACTTCTTGTCTGCCCTGTTCCCACAACGTACACTACTGGTGAGCAGTCACATAATAATTTTTTTAAGTTAATTAAGCAAGCTAGCAAACAATCCGCCAGGCGATTTAAGAAGCGGCCGGGAACCTTGCGGAACAACCACCGAGGAGATTCCGGAAGAAAGATGATTAGCAAGAACTGCAGTAAAGCAGGAAGTCCTGCAGCTCCCAGCATCCATCTCCACGTCCCTGGAACCTGAAACAACAACTCACTCAACACCCTCAAAAGCCAATACGAACGAGTTCAAATTAAATTACAGAGCTAGCTAGCTAGCTACGTACCTTGGTGAAGGCCAAGTTGAGGAGGTAGGAAAGGAACTGGCCAAAAGTGATGAGGAGGTTATTTGTACTGACAAGGGCACCTCTAATTTTCGCCGGAGATGCCTCCGAGATGTAGAGAGGGGAGGTCATTGAGGCCATTCCAACTCCAAGACCCACAAAAGCCCTCCCTGTGATGAGCACAGCTGGTCCAGGGGAGGCAGCCATGATCACAGCTCCGACGAAGAAGAGGAAATCAGCCACCAGAAGTGCACTTCTCCTTCCAAGCCTATCGTTTACCCATCCACCAATGCCCGCTCCCATGATCGCCCCTACCACCGCCATCGCCACTATGGTTTCCTGTCAGTCAGTCAGTCAGATTTACGTACCCGGCCGGCCTTGTGATTATTGTTGGCCTAATTTTTTATCATCAGCGACAGCTAGCAAGCAAGGAGTCCAAATACCAAATTCATCCACCTAATATATAATTAATTAATGTACCTACAGTACCTGGAGGAGAGTGTGCCGGTCCACTTGGGAGAAGTCATCTCGGATGTAGAGGAGTGCACCCGAAATCACCCCTGCAGCCAGATTCCAGTATTATTATGATATGATTGGATACGGGGAGAGAAAGAGAGAGAGAGAGAGAGAGAGAGAGAGAGAGAACCCACCTGTGTCGTACCCGAACAGAAGCCCCCCGATTCCGGCTGAGAATGCCAGCCGGAGGACGAAGGGGTTCTTCCGAGTTAGGTAGACAAAGTCCTTAAACGCAGTCGAATCTGGCATCTTGTGCACAATGCATACAACAACAAACAGTCCATCATTTATATAGACTCACTGAACAGAACTGAACTGAACTAGGAGAGTTACGTTGGCAGGGCCCCGGGCAGTGAGGGGAATCTTAAGAAAGATTTTCCAAAGAGGACGAATGGTAAATTACCTTTTGACACATATAAATGATTGTGTCCCACCCACCAATCTACTCCTGTCTGTATAAGCTAGGTCTAACTGAGGAACCTAAACTGTTGAATTTTAGCGAATTGATCCTCCACACAAGACTTGGCCTGCATTCGGTCATAATTAATCACTAATTATATGATCCCTAGCTAACACCCTTCTAGCTTCTTCCATCAAGCTATAAGTGTGAATGGCTTAATTAAAAGACTTGCTTAATTAGCTTGCAAATTAAGTCTGCCAATGTATGAACAAGTGCAGCTAGCATTGGTGAATGGATCATCGGCAATTACTGAAATGCATTCAACCTTCAGAGATTTGGTCGAATTGTGCTTCATCTCCGATCGAGGAAGTGGTCGTCCATCTCTAATGAAATCCTGGGCTTTTTACGTGTTGCATATATACATTTTTCACAATCATTCTAACAGTTGAGAGGAGTCTGTCACAATCAAAGCAATGATGGAGTATTGAAGGGTCTGACGGGTACATTATTAAAGAGGAGGAAGTTGTTCCACTATTGAATTTTTGTTGTTGTATGTATAGGTGTCAATCGGGCGGGTTCGGGTTGGGTTCAATCGGGTTCGGGTTCAATCGGGTTGCGGGTTAGTCGGGTTGCGGGTTCATCGGGTTCGGGTTTATCGGGTTCGGGTTCAAACGGGTTGCGGGTTAGTCGGATTGCGGGTTCATCGGGTTCGGGTTCAATCGGGTTGCGGGCAAATCGGGTTGCGGGTTCATCGGGTTTTGGGTCGGGCGGGTTGCGGGCGGATCGGGTTGCGGGTTGTTCGGGTCAGCGCATCGAGTAACTTACTCATTACTCGTTACCAACTTACACATTTTATTACACTAATTTAAAATTTTTTCTCAACTTTTTAACCAATTTTATTCGACCTCGTATATATATACTTAATTAAAAAAAATCTAGTCAAAATGTTGAATCAATTGTATGACTTGCAAACTTGTTATGTAATTAATCATAATTGGTAAAGTACACTAGCTAATAGTAATGGTGATATCAACATTTGCAACCAAAAGACACCATTAATTGTTTATTTGATATTTTAGTATTATTTTAGTAGTAATTGGATTAAAGTATCTCGTTTAGCAGAACCATGCAAATCTGGTATTTGGCGAAAGTGGAGTGGTAAAAGGAGCTATTTCGAAATAACTCATTGCCCAAATAACTTGAGTAAAATGTTGACAAACGAGTTATTTGTAAAATTGTTCGAATTAGCCTAAATATTGAACCATTAAAGTTTAACTATCAAAATTAGTAAAATTGTTGTGACCTCAATCATAACTTACTCAATAACATATATCCTATACACTTAACCATTATCCTTAATCGACAATATTGAGTTAGTATATATTGCTGATCGTATACTCTAAATCATCAATACATTATACACTAACCATGTACCCTATACACTAACCACATATCCTATGCCCTAACCATATATCCTTATGAGTTGTGATTTTGCTACAATAGTTAATTTAAAATGAAATTCAGACTTTGATTTTCAAAACAAAGATAAGAAAGTGATATTTGCTATACCCTATACTTTGATGTCAATCAATAATCCTACTATATTTCCACAAGCAAAATCTAGACAAGGCACTAATGTTATCAACAACATTTTATGGTAGATGGGAAACCGGACTTAACAATAAGGAAATTCAAATGTTGGTGCATCGAATTGGGGAAAATTTTCCCTGATAACTTTCCTTAATAGTTAAATTAACCAAAATTTTGATGAATATGTACTATATTAATGGTTAAATTAATAAATTGAACTAATAAACCAACAAAACAAAGTATGGTACATGATTGAATAATATAATGCGTGTTATACACATCCACATCAGTGGGCTTATATAGTTAAATAATTATAGAATAATTACTATGGAATTTGTAAAACTATTTTTGATTATTTAATTTCGGTGATTAATAGATTGTAATGTAAATTTTATATTACAGGTCAATGAAAAAAACCATTTGTCACAAATTAATGAAGGAATCCATTCTCTTTGCCATTTCCCGCGTCCTTCTCCCGCCATTTCCATTTGCCGGTTCCCGGTTCCCGCTTCCATCTCTCGCCAAGCCGCTCAATGGTGATTGCAATTGAGCTCTAATTTATACCACATCGTTTGTAAAGAAGGAATCCTTCTCTATGCATTTATAAATTGAGTGAACTTCTCCAAGCAAAAATAGTGAAGTCCATTAACAAGCCCAATTTCATGTGGGGCTATTGTGGTACTTCTAATTATGGTTTAACTGGCTTGCTTAAATTGGTTTGTTTATGTTAGCTTGCTGCCTTAGTAGTTAATTTAGTTAGAGTTGTGAAAGTGTAATGTGAAGTTGAGTTTTAAATAAAGATGGCTAGTTGATTCATGCTAAAATTGCTCGATTTTGAGCTAGGTAAAAGTTTGGCTCATACCTGTTCTTTTAAAATTATTGAATTACCAATTATATACTTTACTCTATTTGTATTTAATTGATAACTTTATTAAATATTTAAATTAACTAGAAATTTAATGTATATACTTAATATTATATATCGTCTCAATTGTTATTTATTATGTATTAATATTGACACTTTGCTGATTTTATATTTCCTATTTTTTTAACTATGTTAAATAATTTAATATTCAAGTCAACTTCATGTTTTATTTTTTGTAAGTTTGTTAAAATTATATAATTTTAAGTAAATTTTGGATTTTGAAATTCACTCAGTGAATGAGAAATGACTTTGCCTAGGTTTAGAACCCAAAAAATTATTTTGGAAGACTATATACTATATAATATAGTAATTATTCGGGTCAATCGGGCGGGTTCGGGTTAATCGGGTTCGGGTCAATCGGGTTGCGGGTTAGTCGGTTTGCGGGTCAATCGGGTTGCAGGTCAATCGGTTCGGGTTTAATCGGGTTATGGGTCAATCGGATTGCGGGTTGAACGGGTTGCGGGTCAATCGGGTTACGGGTCAGGCGGGTTACGGGTCATTGACTTTTAGTCAATTTGGGTTGCGGTCGGATTGCGGGTCGGGTTGATCGGGCGGGTTACTCGGGTCGGGTGCTATTTTGACACCTATATGTATGTTGCCATTCTTAATTTTGTAAACATTTTGGATATGGTTTGCAACTTTTGTAATCGTGTAGTTTCTAAGCATTAAGTCCTAATTTGTAACTTTTTATATTAACTAGCTTATTACCCGGCCCGTTGGCCGGATTACTGTATGTTACCCACTTGTGGAATGGGAGAGAAAGCAAGTGAGAGTGAAGGGATTGGGATTCCACTTGATTAGGACCGACCCACTAATCCAATTCTTCCCGACCCGCCCCAACCTACAGGGTCAGAAAGAGTCAATAAGAAAATACGAACGGGGAGGATTAGTCATATATCTTGACTCTTCAGAAGTGGGTCAAACAGGATTAAGGTTGGGTGAGGGCAATTTTTAGCGCTAAGCAGAGTTCTGGGATGAATACCTTTACTTAGGCCTATAAATTTGTGCTGATGCAGACTGCAGTTTTTATTATACCATCATCAATCATCATTGAATTAGTCCTGGGCATCCCTCCCAGTTGTCGGTCTGAATTCTAATGATGGCTTCATTCCTTGCACCAGCCATAACAGCGAGTTGCCATCTCGAGCATGATTTGCCTATGTAAAAATAATACAATTAGAGTATGAAAATGAATTCAATGAAAAGGAAAAGAGAATTCTATCACGTGCCAATAAATACACACATAATAGTTGAAGCTAAGTGAAAGTCATTACTCGCACATCAATTCTCAAAAATTACAGACTAAACATTGGCTAGAATGACACTGAAACTACCAAGAATCATGGACGAAACAACTTGTCAAATTAAATAATCCTTATACTGAAACTACCTTCTAACTTGAAATAAGACATGATCACAGTTCATAGCTCTCTTCTCACTATGAATTGGTTGCAACTCGTCCTTATCACTGCCTCTCAAGCTCAATTCAAACAGAATAGAGACCGTTATGTAAGATAACCATATTCTTATTGATCATAATTCCTTTCTTCACTCCATTTTTGTCGGAGAAAAGAGTTATCCCCCTCTCCTGCATTTCCCTTTCCCCCTCTCTTCTCCCTCTTCTTCACAAACCGATCCCTAAACCAGCAACAACAACACAAAAATAGCCTTCGCCTCTCCCGTCTCCATCTATTGAACGCGTTGGTGGCAAGACAGGACTGCAGAAGCAAAATTTTCTAAAATCAAACTAAATTTTTTGAAGCATACTCAACCACGAAAAAAGAGTAAAGCAACAATGCAGTAGAACCCTAAATTTAACTACAATCAAGCACATATCAGCAAGAATTTCGATTTGTCTGAGAGTTAACTACACGGAGAGAACAATTGATGCATAATTGAAATGCTCCAAGCAAGTTGAAGGCAAACCATAACTTTAGAATTTGGTCATTATAATAACCTTCAAGTATTGATGCTTCTAAAAACTATCATGTCCAACCCCCACTTATACAACTACGTAGCCATAGTAATTAGTTGTATAATGAGAAATATTACAAAGAAAACTACATAAACAACCAATGTAAGTAAATATTAAAACTAACAACTGATAAAACTTAAAATCTCTCTATTGGTATAAATGTATCTATTAGTAACTACTATGCAATCGAGTATATATGATTTTTAGGCACTGAATAAGAAAAGTATAGATGGCTCACAAATGAAGACGTAGCAACTGAAGGTAGCACACGAAAACCAAAAATAGAAAAAGAGATAAGAAAAAAGGCGAGAAAAAGTCAAACAAAGAAAAAGCCCACATAGGAATACCTCGCTAGCTTTAGGGACTCTCTGCCACAACAAACAACCTTC